TTTTTATTGGACTATGTTTCCTTATAGGAAGCCTGTGAATATCTCTTGGGGTAGAACATCCACAATATTTGGGAACAGATTTGATTTTTGAAGAGAGTCATAATTGGCAGGAATAAGAGGTAGGAGATCAAGTGGAGAAATGCCATGTTTGGGCAAAGAGGTGGCCACAGGGAAGGGGGCTGGCTTTCTCGTGTGGGTCAAAGAATAGTTTCCAAGGACACTGCAGAGAGTGTCAGCCTTTACAGGCCCTTTGGAATTGCCTGTGACTTCTTAATGGTGTTCAGGGCATCTAATATTTAGAATGGGGGCAGGATTTAGAGATTTTCTAATTCAATCACCATGTTTTATAGTTAATCCCAAGAGATTATATGAATTAAGTAAGGTCGCCCTCCTAGTAGCAGAACATGAGATGTAACTCAGAGCTCCAAATTCCATTCCAGGACTCTATCCTTCCCTCAACATAGGACCCAGGGGAGGCTATTCTTGTGTTTTACCCCTGCCCCCGGGTTCTCTCTGGGCCTGCTCTTTGGGAAATAGTATGGAGTAAGAGGGAAGGCATCTCTTTAAAAGCAACTCAACATAGGGCCTGTGATTAACACTACTGTATCGTACACTTAAAAATGTGTTAAGAGATTAGCTCTTATGTTCAGTGCTCTTACCACAAAAGGAAAAACAATAGCAACAACAGCAACAACAATAAAGGAGGTGAGAGGAAACTTTTGGAGGTGAGGGATAAGTTAACCACACTAGTTATGGTGATTGTTTTAAGGGTGTATCACTTATGTTCAAATATATCAAGTGGTATACATTAAAAATCTGTAACTTTTTGTATGTCAGTCAGACTTCAATAAAGTGGCTTAAAAAAAAAAAAAAGAAAAAGAAAATCTCACATCACTCTCATGGGTAGAACCTGTGGGAACTGGGACAGATTGGGTTACACTTCTGATGTTCTTTTTCCTCGCAGAAGGGATGCAGAAACATTGAAAGCAAATGATCCTGTGCCTGTGACTGAACCCTCCTTGATCTCCGAAGGGCAAGTGTTACACCGTTGCCCATGTTTCATCTGGAAAAAACAGAAGTACACAGAAGAACATGATTTGTGCAAAGTCATCTCCTGTCGGGGAAGTCTTTTTCCAGCATCAGTCATCACTTTGCTGGGCCAGTCCATGCCAGTCGATGCTGGTCCATGCCTGCCTGGTCAGGCTACAATCTTCAAAAAGTAGACTACGAAGTCAGAGAGACCTGGGTTCAAGTCTGAAGTACTGAGTGACTCAGAAAATTATATAACTCCCAGTTGTGCCTCAGTTTCCTAGTTTGAACAGTGGCCATCAACATAGATGCTTGTTTTTTTTTTAAATTAAATTAAATTTTTATTTTTTTAATATTTTTTTTTTGAGACAGAGACTCACTCTGTTGCCAGGCTGGAGTGCAGTGGCGTGATTTCGGCTCATTGCAAGCTCTGCCTCCCGGGTTCATGCCATTCTTCTGCCTCAGCTTCCCAGGTAGCTGGGACTACAGGCACCCACCCACCACGCCCAGCTAATTTTTTGTATTTTTGGTAGAGACGGGGTTTCACCCTGTTAGCCAGGATGGCCAGACATTTCTTATACAACTCTCTGCCTCATGCTTAAGAACAATTCAATGGAACAAAGTATATCAAAAGGAGAGAGTTAGGGAAACGTATTTATGGAGTGTGGGGGATCTAGGGTTAGTCATAGGATGGTTTTCACATGGATTTTTCAGGTGTTTTGTCTTTAGAACATGTGAGTTCATGCAGAGTTATGGTTAGATCAGTTTATCTTTGATCTTTAATCACATGGTCTGAACAAACTGTTATTAAAATAATTTAAGCTTGGGGCTGGGCGTGGTGGCTCACCCTTGTAATCCTAGCACTTTGAGAGGCTGAGGCACATGGATCACCTGAGGTCAGGAGTTCAAGACCAGCCTGGCCAACGTGGTAAGACTCTGTTTCTACTAAAAATACAAAAAATTAGCCAGGCGTGCTGGCAGGCATCTGTAATCCCAGCTATTCAAGAAGCTGAGGCAGGAGTATGGCTTGAACCTGGGAGGTGGAGGTTGTAGTGAGCTGAGATTGTGCCATTGCACTCCAGCCTGGGCAACAAGAGTGAAACTGTGTCTCAAAAAATAATAATAATAAAATAAATAAATACATAAAAGAATTTGGGCTTGTGTAGTTTGTGATGCCGACCTTAGATTTGGCTGGCCCAGTTAATTTGATTTGTGTTTTGCATGTTGTTTTTATGGGGTTTCTTTCAAATTTCAGTTCTCCCTTCACAGGTTAGCTGCTCACAGGGACAATTTTCCCCACTTTTATACCTTTTAGGTTTGTATTTGTCAGAGTTCTCCAGAGAAGCAGAATCAAAGGAGATATATAGATAGATAGACACATAGATAGATAGATAGTATGTAGAGATAGAGAAATAGAGATATTTCTGTTGAGGAATCAGCTCACACAATGGAGACTAGTGAATCCAATATCTGTAGGGTAGGTCAGTAGACTGCAGAGCCAATCTGGAGACAACATGGCAATTAAGTCCTCAGGCCACCTCTGTTGGGATAATTCTTGTGGCCCAGGGCAGGTCAATCTGATCTACTGAGGCCTTCAACTAATTGGATAAGGCCCACCCCCATTGTGGAAGGTAATCTCCTTTACTCAAAGTCCTCTGATTAAAACATTAATCTCATCTGAAAAAAAACACCCTTACAGGGAAATCCAGAAAACATGAGTGACTAAGTATCTGGGTACTGTAGTCCAGCCAGTGGGCACATGATATTAACCATCACAAGGTCATATGATTTTTTTCTCAGCCACATGATCACAACTTTATTATTCCAATCAGTAAGGTATTGCTAAGTTATTATTTGACAGTCATAGAAGGATAATTGAAAGTATAATTGAAGTTTTTTTCTATTTTTGTACTGCTGTCTGAGAAATGAAACCTACAATAAGGTTACAGGTAGAAACATGGAGAAGAGAAAGTTGACTTACCCAAGCGTGCACAGTGCCAGGAAGTCTCCTGCCTTCTGTTTGCTCAGCCTTAGGCTAGGTGACCAGATGTACATACAGCTGGTATCCTTCAGGATGGGATTTGAAGACTATAAAAATTGCCGCTATAAATAATGGCACTGTTGCAACCTTGGTAGCCCTACTATTAAAGCTTTATTACTTTGAACTAAATATCATCCTCTTCAAGCTACTCTTTAAAATACCTTAATAATATATTTTAAACCTGACATCTAAAATATAATCATTTCAACATATTCTTAAGATAAAATTGATCATGAGAGTTTTGCATTATTTTTGGCAACTTTTATTGTGGTAAACATATGTAAAATAAAATTTAACATTTTAAACATAAAATGTACAATTCAGTAACATTAAGCAAATTCATATTGTTGTACAACCCCCATAACCACTATCCATTTCCAGAACTTTTTTATTATCCCAAACGGAACCTCTGCACCCACAAACAATAACTCTCCATCCTCCCCTTCCCCAGCCCCTGGTAACCTGTATTCTACTTTCTTTCTTTATGAATTTGCCTATTCTAGATACTGTATGTAAGTGGAATCATATATGATTTGTCCTTTTGTCATCTGGCTTATTTTATTTAGCATAATGTTTTCAAGTTTCATCCATGTTGTAGTGGGTGCCAGATTTTTAAGACTGAATAATATTCCACTGTATATATAAACCACATTCTGTTATCCATTCATCTGTTGATGGACATTTGGGTTGTTTCCACCTTTCGGTGATTGTGAATAATGCTACTATGAACATTGGCACAGAAGTCTTTGGCCTATTTTGTTTTGTTTTGAGAAGGAGTCTCGCTCTGTTGTCCAGGCTGGAGTGCAGTGGTGGAGATCTCGGCTCACTGCAACCTCCACCTCCCTGGTTCAAGTGATCCTCCTGCCTCAGCCTCCAGAGTATCTGGGATTACAGGCACCCACCACCACACCTGGCTATTTTTTGTATTTTTAGTGGAGATGGGATTTTACCATATTGGCCACACTGGTCTCAAACTACTGGCCTCAGGTGATGTGCCTCCCTCAGCCTCCCACAGTGCTAGGAATACAGGCATGAACCACCATTCCCGGCCTGGGCTACTTTTAAAAGTTAAAAATCTTAGGACAGAGGGAAAGGGAGAGGAGGTAGTAAGAGTATATAAACAACTTGGATCATAGTGGGAGACAGTAAGGGATTAGCTGTTCACAGAAGAGAGAGAAAGAAATCTACTACTCATTAAATTGTCAATATGGCTATGTTCTTAGGCATATGGAAGTAGGCTGGAGGATCTGAATTGAGGTAAAGGAGTGGACAGGAAGGTAGAAGAGGACTGAGATTGTGGGGAGAGACATAGTAGAGTTTAACCTCGTAAAATGAGGCACATGACCTCATTATTTGAGGGTGGGGCCCAACACCTGAATCTGCACTTTACAGAGAGCATGGGTACACTTTCATTTCTTTAGAGAAATCATCCATTTCTTCTATTGTGTTGCCTCCCTTTAGTCCTGGCCTATGTGCATTGATTAACTGCCTGACTTTGGAAGCCAGTTTACTGCCTCTGAACAGCGAAGCACAGTTGAATGCTCACAGATCTATATGCTGGCAGAGCCCGTTATCACTACTCATCAAGTATCTGTGATTCCCTCCTCCTAAGAGAGAGCCTACAGTATAGAGTCCCCCTCATGGTTTATCTACCCAAGTCCTGCACCCAAGACTTGTTTAGTGAAGCTACGGAGGGAACATATAGACCCAATGATTGTATTCGGGTCTCAGCTGCTCACTGGATCTGCTCAACAGTACAGTGGGAATACCCTACATTGAAATAAGATGCATTCAGCATCCTTACTATTGTGTGAACCATTCCAGTCAGGATTCCTGCACTGGTGAGAAAGAAGACTAGGGAATCTCTCACATCTCCAACTCTGATTTATAGGATTCTATAAATGTAAAATCAATAGGCATAACACTCAGCAAAATTTAAAATAAAATTTTATTTTATCTTATACTTAAGTTCAGACAATAGCATGTGGTGTACATTCAAAATTTTTGACAGGTACAGAGCACATTAAAAAATGAAGACATGATCAAGGAGATGTAAGAGACAAATAGACAACAACATTCTCCCTGAATCTGGAAAGAAGCAAGCAATAAGACCATGAAAGGTGGCTGTAAAACAGGAAGAGTATTCTGCATGTGTTGCCCACAACTACGGCAGGATTATCTCTCATCACACGTTCAAAGCCATTGATGTTAGCGTGTAACAGAAAGAAAACAGAGGATTTGTACAGCTGAGGAAATAAATGGCAGATGTTACCCAGGAAGCAATATAACGTGGTAGTTAAGTAACTGTTTTCAACTGTCGAATTTAATTTTAAATCTTGGTGCAGTGCCCACAAGCTGTGTGACTTCAGTCCCCTTGATAATATAAACTTCATTTCTCTCACTTATAATAAAGAGACACAAATGGTACCTACTCCACCAAGTTATGAAGAACACATGAAACCTGTAAAGCACTTACAATAGTGCCAGAACATTGTGAGCACACGTGATATGTTGGTTGGCATTATTATTAACGGCTTATATAAATTCCCAGGTAATGCATAATAACAATAGAGACTGTGACCAGCCCTGGCTTACATAAATGGTCAGCTTCATTTTCCCTATTTCATTTGACATGTTATTCCATTGTATGCTTTGAGACAGGGTCTTGCTCTGTTGCCCAGGCTGGAGTGTAGTGGTGTGATCATGGGTCACTGAACCTCAAACTCCTGGACTCGAGCGATTCTCCCTACCTCAGCCTTCCAGGTAGGGGGGGCTACAGGTGCATACCACCATGCCCAGCTATCATATTCCCTATTTAAAAAGTTGTACACGGGCTGGGCGCGGTGGCTCACACCTGTAATCCCAGCACTTTGGGAGGCCGAGGCAGGCGGATCATGAGGTCAGGAGATTGAGATCATCCTGGCCAACATGGTGAAACCTCGTCTCTACTGAAACATACAAAAAATTAGCCAGGTGTGGTGGCACGTGCCTGTAGTCCCAGCTACTCAGGAGGCTGAGGCAGAAGAATTGCTTGAACCCAGGATGCGGAGGTTGCAGTGAGCCGAGATCGTGCCACTTCACTCCAGCCTGGTGACAGAGCAAGATCCCATCTAAAAAAAAAAAAAACAAAAAAAGGTTGTACGTGACAGTTAACCAATACCTCCATAATAATAATAATGATAATAATAAAAAGAAAGTAGGGACAACACTAAATCATTAGCAATTTGAGCACATTTCCTCCAAGGCATATGCTATTTTTCAACTTGGCTTCAATCATGTATCTTTATGTTTGGTTTTATTGTAGTCTTTAATTCACATAATACTTCATTAGTATGTATTATTCCACATAATAGTCCTTTAAGTAGATGGCCCATACTTTAGTTTATTATTCCAGCCAGAGAAAAGCACTGATGTGCTTATGGGCAACTGGAAATAAGCTGGTGTTGGAAATAATTGTGTTTATCAAGCCAATAAAGATAAGGAGAAGTGTAGTGTTAAGGGTCACTTGCCTCCCACAGCCTGAAAGTCCTTGTCACAGCTGATCTTGAACATAGCCAGCACCCTTGTTCTGATCTGTTTGGTTTTGGCACCATAGATGATGGGATTGATGACAGGAGGCAGCAGCAGGTAGATGTCACCCATGACAACACGCACAATGGGATGAAGGCTGTTTCCAAAGCGGTGTACCACTGAGAGGCCAATAAGTGGCACATAGAAGGCGAGTACCACACCAATATGTGACACACAGGTTCCAAAGGCCTTGGCTCGCTCTGACTTGGAAGGCAGTTGCAGCACCGTTCGTATTATCAGAAAATAAGACAAGGAGATGAACATTACATCCACTCCCATGACCAGCAGAATGGCAGTAAGACCATATACCACATTGGGCAAAGTGTCTGCATAGGCCAACTTCATCACATCCTGGTGGACACAATAGGAGTGTGAGAGTACATTGGAGTGGCAGAAGGCCAGTCGCTTGATCAGCAGAGGCAGTGGGAAAAAAAAGAGGGACCCGCGGACCACAGCCACGATGCCAATCTGGGCTGTTACTGTATTGTTGAGCACTGCAGCATGGCGCAGTGGGTGGCAGATGGCCACATAACGGTCAAAGGCCATGGCCAGCAGGATGGTGGATTCAATGGCCGAGAGGGCATGAATAAAGAACATCTGGGTAAGGCAGGCCTCAAAGCTAATCTCTCGGGAATCAAACCAGAAAAGTGCAAGGATCTTAGGCATGGTGGATGTGGATAAGGCCAGGTCAATGGCTGCCAGCATGCAGAGAAAGAGGTACATCGGAGAGTGCAGGTTGCGTTCCGTCCTTACGATGAAGACCACGATGCAGTTTCCAAACACTGCCACTACATACATGGAAAGGAGAGGGAAGCCAACCCAGAAATGGGCTTTCTCTAGTCCTGGGATACCAATAAGCACAAAGGTGGCATGTGTGAAGTTGCAGGAACTCATAGCTGGAACTGAGGAGGGGTGACTGGAGAGGGTGAGGTCACACTGGCAGTCTGCAGGGACATAGAGCACAATCAGAGAATGCCCTGGAAACTTGAAACTGACATCCCACCCCTTTTGTCTCCTCCCACCCCCGCTTAGGGTCTTTTATAAGCTCTGAGGCCCTCTTCCAAAGGGGGAACTGTGACAGCTCAAATTCATTTATGCATCACTACTCTCAAGGTTTATTTAAATTTTTAAAAGGGAACCCTGGGAAAGCAATGCTTTTTCAAAAATGTAGCCTTTCCAAATTCCCTCAGATTCTTCCTACTGACCATACCTTCATTGTCTGGATATTTGGTGACCCTTTTTTTCTGATATGTGTTAAGAGATACACTTTTGGGAGCTCCTTCCAGATAAGTCTGCCTTTCTTATTTTACTTTCCCTGCTTCCCTCCCCCCACTTTCTTTCTTTCGATTATTCCTTCATTCCAGAAGCATTACTAGCATAATGTATGCATTTAATTCATGCGAAAGAGAGAGGCATGATCACAGAAGAATCTTCCTGTTTAGACTTGAAACATGAGTAGAAATTAGACAGAGAGTGGAATAATGGGTGTTCCAAGGCAGTGAGGATAGGAGATAACTTTGCAAATTTTCAGGATTCCCGGTCCTCAACTCTGAAGTCAGCCAGAGGAATAACAAGCACAGCAATGACATTTTTTTAAAGCTTAAAAGAACATAAATAAACAAAAACTAAGAAAAAAAATGCCAAAAGCCAATCTCTTTCAGATTAAAGGAAACTCATCTGTGGTCATAAAATCAAAGGTAGTGGCTCCCTTTGATGACTTCTTCAGAGATGAAGGTGCTGTGAGGACACTGGTGAGTACCTCCACATCTGAAAGCTTCTTCCAAGGCCACTTTAATTGCATCTAAGGATAGTTTGAGTTGAGTCCTTACTTTGGAGAAGTATTATTAATTTTACAATGATATTTTTAGAGCTTTGTCTTTCCTAAAACTTGTGCCAACAAGTCATTCATCTCAGGGGAGACATTTCTTTTTTAGAAGCCCAGTGTTCCTTTGCCCCAACTCCCTACCCTCACCCAAACACCTGGGTTCTGACTTCACGAAACTTCTTCTCTGCTAGGTTGCCTAGGTGCCTTGGTCTTTAGAGCTAATTTTCTCTAGAACGCCAAAGCCTTGGCTGCAAGGCCTAACTTTTGGAAACAAATGATGCAGGTGTCTTCACTGATTATCTGTTTCATTGAAACAGGTTAGCCTGCTTATATTGCACTCCCCTAACCCCAGAATTTTTCACTCATCATCTGAGTTCTTCCTGCAGCTGGGAGATGCCCTTCAATTTGGTCTTAATGTAGAGGGGTTAGATACCAGTGATCTTAAATTACAATATGATAACATTAATACAAAGAGATTAGAACTGGATTCTCCCCATTTTGGATAAGCAAGGAAGGACAGATTCTGGGTTCAAAGGTTACAAACCCATACTTCTGCCTCTATTTTCTCTTCTCCACCTTCAGAACTTGTGCAGACAAAATAGCTAAGCTCCTTGACAAATATTAAATACCATATTTGGCTCCCAGTTGCTATCAGAACATGAAAAGCCCTTTTCAAAGGCAGATGATTGCATCCTTTAGTGAGATACAAGGTAGTTTGCATCTTGCATCCATCCATCCATTTCTGTATCCGTCATAGCTTGGGGAAGGGGATACAGAAATTTAAACAAATCATGCTGTAATGTGTGGGACAGAACTAAGGAACCTTCCCTGAAGAGAGGCCAGATCACTAGACCACTGTGTTCCAGCGAAATGGGACCCAGGGTGAAGAAAAGAGCAGGCATGGAGGGAGACCAAGGGGAGCACAGTGACGTATATTTTCTTTCTTAATGCCTTTTGCTATGCTACCTCATGCAGTGCTGATAGATAACAAGATTCTTTATTGGCCCCAGAGCTGGTTACTTTCTTAAACCCTCTCTCTGCAGAGCATATTTTCTGTCTTGCTGGTACCTGCACATGCTCACTAGAGTATAAGACTTTGGGCCATCATCTCATCTCCCAAAATACCTATCCTGAAAGACCTCACGTCACCCTCCCATGTTGCCTGGCATCCTGCCTAAAGTAGACTCCCTGCTAAACCCAATTTCAGCTTCTCTTTGGGTCGAATGTGGCTGTTGCATTCATTCTTACTTGCCTTTCCTGATTGTTGCTAAGACTCTGGGATATCTCTTCCCAGTCCATAAAGTTGTGGATGGGACGCAAGGACTTCTCCCTGCCCTGACTTGAACCAGTATGTGGGGTCTTCAAGGTCCCTTAGGACGGCAGGAGCTAAGGCTGCCTGACCCCAGGTGAGGGTGCACATACCTGAGAATGGTACAGTCCTACTTAGAAAGAGCAACTGGAACTGGTTTTGCTTTCTGATTCAGGCCTTTTTTATAATGCCCCTCAGAAAGCCCATGGGAGCAGGCTGTGGAGTATGAACTGAGGCCCCAGGGACTTGGCAGACAGCGGAAAAATATCTCCATGTCCACTTGTGTGCCATTCCCACGGGCTTCCCACTATTCCTGTCCAGGGAGAACAACCTCAAAGCACCCACTGCCTCTGCAATCACTCCCACACTCACATATACGGGGCTTTTGACAATCTGCTCCCACTCCTCCAAGCTAACCTAAGCACACAGAGTCAGCCACAGGATGAGCGTGTTTCTTCATGTGCCACTCTGCTAGACACAACAGACAACATGTGTGACTAGGCATGGTCCTTAGGCTTTAGGAGTTTGCATCCTCTCTAAAACTACAAAAGTTTAGTTCCATAATTCAAAATAGGGGCATGCAATTCTCCATATCTTTCCCTAGCCTTTCTTCTGGTTGACAAAACAGCCCTTAATGTATCAAAGCCACTCTTCATTGCTCCTGGATTATAGATAAAGCCTAGATGAGATGACAGCTTTTTGTCCTAGGTCATATAGTTAATTAGTGATAATATTGGTTGGAGAACCAGGTATTCTGACTCTTTGTTTATTCACATTAAACAAATGTTTGTCAAAGGATTACAAAGTTATAAGCAAAATAGATAAAAAAAAAAAACCACCCCAACCACCTTCTCCAGGATATTGAGGTATCCTCAGTACCTCAGGATGCTTGATGGCTCTCTTCCAGTGACGTGTCCCCTATGTCATACCCAGCACAGTTACCTTCATACTTTATTAATATTTAACACTAACCTGTTCTATCTGCCATCCTTTCTAAGTATGCCTCACACATGAGTCTTACCTTGTCATCATCACCGTAATCTTTGAACACAGAAACAGAATTACTTTCTTATCAATCAGGCATTATTTATTGGTCACCTATATCTGGCAATGGAGTTAAGTAATTCATTCATTGTGTAATAAGCACATTCTCAATGCTGGTTTTGTGCAGGTACTGTGCTGAGTTTAGGGTGACAGAGGTGAATAAGACAAAGTCCTTGCCTTCAAAGTATTCACAGACACCTACCCAAAGAAACCTGAAATAGTAGGAAAGAGCAGTGAATGCCACAGATTTTTATGGGAACTTGAGAGGGGTATTTATTTACTCTTTGGGTGGGTCCAAAAAGAGTGTATTTCAGCAGACAGAAAATCATGAAAGAAACAGAATTTTCTATAGAGGAATTATGAACAATTGTAGCTTGGCTGAAGCATAGAATCAACCAAACAGGAAAGAGAAATTGAAGAGGTCAATGGATGTGAATTGATGATAGGCTGTGAACTCAAGGACTTCATCCTGTAGGAATTGGGAGGTGAATAAATGGTTTTAAGCAGGGACATCACAAATAGACATGTGTTTCAGATTGCTATTCCAGAAGCTGTTGGGAGGGTGAATTTGAGGAGGATGAAGTGGATGTGCTTATGAATTTAGTTATGTGAGACAAAACTTAAGATACATAGCATTTCCTCATCCTTCACATTCAGTTTTTCAACCGATCTTGTCTATTTTTCCTTCTAAAAATCTTTTGCATGTTTCCTCTTATTTCCATCTTCACTACCACTACCGTGTTCAAGTAGCTACAACAGTGGCCATGTGACTCCTCGTGCTCTGGCTTTTAGGAAAGTCCCCAACTCGTTGTGAGCTTATGCATCTTGGTCAGAGCATGACATTTGTTCTGCAACCCACCCAGTCTCGGTATCTACATTATCAATTTCCTATAGATGGAAGCTTATAAGCTGCCAGGATTGTTGGACAGGAGGACTATCCACAGGTTAGCATTTGTGAGGTGAGGTGGGGGAAGAGAATCCGCAGAAATTGTGCGAACATCTCAGTTGTCCTTGAGGTTGATGTTTTTTTTTCTCCTTTCTATTTTTAGGACTCTGAGTATCTCCATCCTTTTCTTTCAGCTCTATTTGCTATCTTCTGTAATAGTAGTGTATGGAAACAAATAAACATAACCCTAGTCTGTAGGCCTGTATCATCTGAGCTTTTCCATCTTTCCACTTCAGACCTGCCTGTAGCTTCTCTGGATTTTTGTTTTTGCTTCATTGTGAGTTACAGATATGTAAAGATGATCTGTGGGGGTACATATTAGGGAATAGAAGAGGAAAGAAATATGTAGAAATAAACTGGCAGTTTATTCAAAATATAAGTCACCTCTTTAAAGTGGCCTTCTAAGTTTTACTATTACCTACATTCATTCACTAGACAAAGCAAGTTTTATGTTGGAAAGTGGGAATAAGGCTTCACAAGATTAGGATCAGGGTATACTAGATCATATGAAAAAGAGCGAACTTTTTATACCAAATAGCAGTACTTGGCACAGTATTCTCTAAAATGTGAAATTTCACGAAAATATATTTGTAGATACGAAGAACTTTCTGGTATAGGAGAACTTTGTTATCTTCTTGTATGCCATCAAAATCCTTACACATCAAAGACACTATTAATTCATTAATTCAATGAAGAGTAAAAGTTACAATGGAGCAGACACTATAGATAGAAATGTGGAAACAACAGTGAATAGACCCAGTCCCTGACCCCAAGAAGTGAGCTCAGAGTTTGTTGTGGGGAGAATGGTGACAAGAGAGTT